AAAATACAACTCATATTACAGTTAAGTACTATATAAATTACAAAAATCGTTTACAATGTGTAAATACTCACCGGCCACTTTATTAGGTACACCTTACTTACACCTTAGTACTGGGTTGGACCGACTTTTGCCTTCAGAACTGCCTTAAGTGGCACAAATTCAGCAAGATACTGGAAATATTCCTCAGAGATTTTGGTCCATATTGACATAATAGCATCACACAGTTGCAAATTTGTCAGCTGCACAGTCATGATGCGAATCTCTCGTCCACCACATCCCAAAGGTGCTATTGGATTGTGTTCTGGTGACTGTGGAGGCCATTTGAGTACAGTGAACTCATTGTCATGTTCAAGATACCAGTCTGAGATGATTTGCGCTTTATGACATGGCGCGTTATCCTGCTGTAAGTAACCATCAGAAGATGAGTACACTGTGGTCATAAAGGGATGGACATGGTCAGCAGCAATACTTAGGTAGGCTGTGGTGCTGACATGATGCCAAAGTGGTACTAATGAGCCCAAAGTGTGCCAAGAAAATACCCCGCACCATTACACCACCATCACCAGTCTAAACCATTAATGCAAGGCAGGAGGGATCTATGCTTTCATGTTGACGTCATGCTGTTGCTAGGTTTGAACTGCAGAAGATCGTCTTGATCATGTCTACATGCCTAAATGCATTGAGTTGCAGCCATGTGATTGGCTGATTAGAAATCCGCATTAACGGTTAACCGTTAGACAGGTGTGCCTAATAAAGTGGCCAGGCAGTGTAAAAAAAAATGCAGGGTTCCACACAATTACTTCATGTTGCCCCCACAAAAAGCGTTTTAATGAACGGATCAAATGTAGGGTTGAACATGAAACAATTAAGTTGTCCTAAAAACCTCAAGGATTGTTGTTTCAACTCATTTATAGTTTTATTTTGGGGTGTACAGTATGTGATTTTTGTGAATTCTGTTTCATCATTATTTATATCCAACTTATTTTTTTTAATCCTCTTAAGAAAACTTCTTTTTACTTTAACTATCTGTCAAATAAAAACGTCCAATATATTTTTATATTCCAACGCATTGGAGTTAGTGTGAGCATTCCTCCTCTATTCTACAACATAAAGTGTCCAGTGTAAATAAGTCTGTGAGAGTGTCGTAAAGCTGAACCAGGTCTCTCTCTCTCTCAAGTCTCTTCAAAACCAGTCTCTGTGTGCTTCAGCCCCTTTCATGCATTCGCTTCAACATCGCTCCTGTTTTCATTTTTCTCCCTCCTCTCTCGCCCTCAGCGCTAATTTCTCCGAGTCCCACAATGAAGCAGTTGTGCGCCTCTGTCTGAGAGCAGCCGCAGAAATGCTTTGGCGCGCACACTGGAGACGTCATGGATTCCTGAGCGCGCGCTCCGCAGGAAAGCCCTGAGTCTCCGACATGGAGCCGCTCCAGGTTTCCATGGCAGAGCACATAAACAGGAGGAAACACTGAGGGAATCCCGTTATTTTACAGCATTGGCCCATTATAAACACCCAGAGCCGGGGAAGGAAGCCGCTCTTGATACTCCAGTCAGTCTTCAGAGCAGTCTTCGGAGTATTTACGCCTTCGTTATTACGCTTTTTTTTAACCTCGTCGTGCAGATACTTTTTGTTTATTCCTGCTATGAACTTTTTCTGAGGGAAATTTTTTATTTTATTTTTGGTATATACATAAATACATACTTATTTTTTCCCAAATGTTTAGAGAGTCTTGGAGACTGATGCACTTCCACAGCATGAGGTCGATGGATCAAGGTATGGATGGGCGCGTGCTGAAGTGTTGTGATTTCTGGTAATCAATGATTTGATTTTATTAACACTTTTTTTGTTTGTGTTTTTTGATGCTATGAATGACATGCTTGTACTTGCTGTGTGGATTTAAACATGTTTTTGTGCTGTATATTGAGGTTATAGTAGGCTATATGTACAGTAAAGGGCGCTGACGTCATGAGGGAACTCTCGTGTGACATCAATGGGATATTAGGAGTTAAAATGTTACTGCTTGTGCTTTACTAAACATCCATAGTGTGGGATAAATGAATGAACGTTTACTTTTATTAATGGTCTTGGTTATAGATCTGTGTTTCATTGCAGTTGTGATTCTAATGCATTTCACGGACTATTTGTTGTCGAGAACTTTAAGTTTTCAAGCTGATTTATTATTTTAAGCTACTAGATAGATAGATAGATAGATAGATAGATAGATAGATAGATAGATAGATAGATAGATAGATAGATGATAGATAAAATCAACTTCTAAATAAAATATGCATTAAATAAATGCAACATAATATAAAATATGCTACAGTATACTATCTGTCTATCTATCTATCTATCTATCTATCTATCTATCTATCTATCTATCTATCTATCTATCTATCTCTGTCTGTCTGTCTGTCTGTCTGTCTATCTATAGAATGTGCTGTTATTTATTATAGTTGTGTTTTAATTTCACCATTTCACAGAATGTTTGTTGATAGATAGATAGATAGACAGACAGACAGACAGACAGACAGACAGACAGACAAACAGATAGATAGATAGATAGACAGATAGATAGTTGCTTTTATTTGTCATTATTCATAGCAACTTATGAATAAAATATGCATGAAAAATAAAAGCAACTGAATATAACATGCACATGTTTTTAACACCATACAGTCTATCAAATGCATGAGAATCATAATCACAATTCTTTGATTGTGAAAATTCTACATCTATTGGTAAGACTTTATTTTGATAGTCCCTGTTGCACATTTTTTTTCACTAAAGTTGTGTTGCAACTACATGCTAATAACTTTTAATTTGAGTATTACTGTGTTTCTCGGAACAATGAAGGGGGGTCGCCTGGTGATTTCCAAAATACTATTTGTTTTTATTAAGCCATAAGAATTACCATATCCATAACCTACTTATGAGAAAAAATAGTCATTTATAGTTACTACTGTATATACCATATAGTTACTATAGTAGCTATAGTTACTAGTTCTATTGAATTGCAACCCCTGGGGTAATTACATTATATTAAAGACACAGCAATAGTGTTGGATACAGAAGATTGATTTTATAACACCAGGTTAGACTTTCTGGTATATTTACAGCACTGACATACATAAAAAAATTAAATCAATTATAGACTTGGGTCTATTGGTGCGTGTGCGACATTGCATGCACGGTTTCTGTATTTATAACCACCTCAGAGGATATTGGGGGTCGCGAGTCACTGGCATAGTCATTTTGGGGGTCGCGGGTTGAAAAGTTTGGGAACCCTTGGAGTATTAGACTGCCTGCCTAATACTGTATCTGCAGAATCTGCTCCTCCAACAGATATTTAACTGACTATAAGAAGCATTGCAAGTACATGTCAATTTACCCTAACCCTAACCTAACAGTCTATTTATAATCTAATGAGATTAAGTTGGCATACAGTTGAAGTCAGAATTATTAGCCCCCCTGTTTATTTTTTCCCCAATTTCTGTTCAACGGAGATAAGATTTTTTTTCAACACATTTCTAAACATTTTAATAACACATTTCTAATAACTGATTTATTTTGTCTTTGCCATGATGAAAGTAAATAAAATTTTACTAGATATTTTTCAAGACACTTCTTAAAGTGACATTTAAAGGCTTAATCCAGGTTAATTAGGTTAATCCAGCCTGATCTCACGAGAAAACGTAAGTATTTTACGTTTTGCCAGTTTAGTGGCTAATTCATAGGAATTCGTACGAGTTCAGTCGTACGAAATGGTACGATTTTAAAAAGGAGGCGTGGCACCTGACCCCACCCCTAACCCCAACCGTCAAAGGGGGATAAGCAAATCGTACTAAATTGTACGAATTAGATCGTACGAATTCATACGAATTAGCCACTAAAAGTTACGAATTGCTGTGAGATTGTGTTGGTTAATCAGGCAGGTTAGGGTTAGTTGTTGCAAGTTGTTGTATAATGATGTTTGTTCAGTACACTGTCGAAAAAATATTGCTTAAGAGGGCTAATCCTTTTGTCCCTAAAATGGTGTTTAAAAAATTAAAAAATGTTTTTATTCTAGCCGAAATAAAACAAATAAGACTTTTTCCTGAAAAAGAAATATTATCAGATATATAGATAGATCTATCAGAAAGAAGTTTCAGCATTTCATGCGCACTTTATTTTAATAGCATTAAATTTCATCAATTCAATTTTCACAAAGCATAAAAAAGAGTTTCTACAGATTCTACATCTGATGTCTTATAGTTCATGCCTCACCTCAAGCATTGAATATCTTTAGTTACATAAAGTTCAGGCTCCTCGGCTGTTCGTGCTGCAATGGAAACTTCAGGTAATGTTTAATAGCCCTATATACTGCCACCATGTAAATAATCACATTCTGTCATTTTGCTCTATAAGAACACGGTGTGTGTCTGGAGTGACTGCAGGTCATTTTCCAGACTTGCTCCAGAAAAAACAATTCACCGGTCTGAAAAAAAAAAATCTGAAGCATGTGATATGAGCTGAAAGTGATTTGGTGTAAAATTTGGTAATCGTATGACATTGTTTAATAACAATGAGCTTAAGATTAGATAGATAGATAGATAGATAGATAGATAGATAGATAGATAGATAGATAGATAGATAGATAGATAGATAGATAGATAGATGGATGGATGGATGGATGGATGGATGGATGGATGGATGGATGGATGGATGGATGGATGGATAGATGGACTGATAATAGATAGATAGATAGATAGATGGATAGATAGATAGATAGATAGATAGACAGACAGACAGACAGACAGACAGACAGACAGACAGACAGACAGACAGACAGGTACTGACAGACGGTTGGATGATCTGTGGATGAGTGAATAGATGGATTGGATGGATGTGTCGTATAGTGATGAACACCCGGGGGCAGCAGCTGTTACGGGATGAACTCCTGTATATTCACACCCGCCCACATGTTGAACTGTCATAAAGAACAAACTAGTTGCTTTTATTGTGGCCGTTATAATTACCAAGGTTATAACTAGTATCTGTCAACAGGAGGCGCGTGTCATCCATTTCATCACCCTCCCGAGTGACAGCGCGGTTTTATGAAACAAACACACACAGACAAACCTGCTCAAACTATCGCTCTGTTTACAGTAGGCAACATTTCACGCGACGCAGTGAACGCGTCCTGTCCATTCTCATTGTGCCTATTTTAAACGCGTCCTCGTCACCTTTTTTCTTTATTATTAGTGTTCGCGGGTTGATTTTGGAGCCGGTGTTGTTATAAACGGGGGTGTGAAAGTGAAGTTTAAAGCGGAAGTGTACCACTTGTCTGTTTCTGAGTCTCATTCATGCGTTTGGGCACTCGGAGCCGCGTGCACAACAGCCGTCGACGCGTTTATGAAGTTGCTGTGGTGTGAATAAGTCAAATTTAGAGACAGATGAGCTCTTTTTACGGCGAAAAAGCTGCGTTAGGACTGGCAGCGGAGCTCAGTCAGGTGAACTGTCAGGATGAGCTGGAGTTTGACTACCTTTTTGAGTATGAAAACCAAACAGGACTTCAAGGTTTGTTTCATTAAACTTCTGTATTATATATTTGCTGAAGGCCTGTATGCATCTAATAATAAGGTATGACTGTTTAAATTAATTGAAAATAAGTGATAACCGAGTAAGACAGTGTGTTATAAGTTACTAGAATTCAGCTTCAAGTGCAAGGCTTGTTAATTAGGTTAAGCAAGTCATTGAACAACTGTGCTCTGTTATGTAGACAAGTGATAGTATAGTATAGTATACTGTAGTATAATGTAGTGGATGGTCAAACCCCAAATGCAAATATGCTTTACTTAAACATTTATTTTGTGTTTGAAACCAATATAAATGAGACTGTTAGTTGATTAAACTGTATTTATCTCAAAACTGTGTTGAAAGTTACTAGTATTCACTAGGTTTATTAAGTTAACTGGGCAAGGAGGTTTGAAGTCATTGAACAACAGTGGTTTATTCTGTAGGAAATTGAAAAAAAGGATGTCTTAACATTGCTAGTTATATTATTAACCTTAAAATAGTTAAAAGCATGTTAATCTGCTTTTGTTCCATCAAAACTAAAAGAAACAACTTTTTTTAGAAGAAAAAATATGATCTGAAGAAAATACTGCGAAAATGTCTTTGCTCCACTAAACATCACTTGGAAAATATTTGGAAAAATTCTTAATATTTCACAGGCGATCTTATAATAATCGTTCTTTCTTATTTGTTCAGTTGTTTTGGCTACTTCTCATCCCAGATCTTTGTTTTGTTTTATAGATTTCATCTACATTGAGTGTCTTAAAAAAAGGGTTAAATCAAGGAAATGTTCAATTGCATTTAGGCCTGTCACAATAATCAATATATGGACTTATTGCACAACATATTTACATGATCATTTTTGGTGATGCGATATATATATCGCCCATACATAAAAACCAGCAACGTTGTAGCTGATCGTGCGACATTTTTGTCTTTATTGGAGATGTCAGTGTCAGTATGATTTAAACAAACACTATAGTATTTACTATAGTATATTTTCATGTGGGTGTCTGACCGCTGATAATAGATCTGGTAGCAGATATTGCAGCCTCTGTTGCTTTTTACCTTGCACTGTTATGTTAACATTTTTCATTATTTATTTAGGATCTGCGTTCTTACATTCTTGTTTCCAATTTCTGATTATTAAATTGTTGAAATGACTTTAATCAAATAAAATATTCTTAAGAATAAAATATGATGTGTTCTTTGGAAGAGTGTACTTGCATTGTGATGCTATTGTATTGGCATTTTGGCATTATAATCAGTGGCATAATATGTTGTTAATAGGACAATAATACCGTTTATCGCAATATATTTGGTGCAATATATCGTACAACAAAAAATAGATATCGTGATAGGCCTATTTGCGTTGTAAGAACTTAAATTATTTCTTTAATTTCACATTCAATTTGCATTTATTTTAGAAGTTATAATTATTAGTTTGTACATTTCCCTCCCCTCACTACAAAATAAAAGTTTGTAGATTAATGTGTTTATCATCTCACTGTATACTGTAACATTAATAACAGTAGACTAAAAAATAAGACTTTTGCTGCTTGTTTAAGCTACTTTTTTTTTTAAATGAGTTGAAACAACACAATGAGTTCAATGAGACCTGTCACTCAGCAAAGAGTGAACACATGAAATGATCGAGTATTTAAGCAGCAAGAGTTAAAGAATCATTACACTGAGGAAGACGTATAGCTCAAGCGTTTATTTTTTCATTTCTTCAGTGATTTATTTATTAAATTATTGCGCTTTCCTGGTACTTGTCATATAGTTACAATTAAAAAATAAAAAACTAACAAACAAAGTCTTCATGGAAGATGATCTTTACCTAATATTCTAATAGTAATTAACATAAAAAAAAAAAAAAATTGACACAGAATATAATTTTGGGTACTGCCAAAAAATATACATGTGTTTCTAGTCTAGGGTCACAGTAAAATAACTCGCTTTTTTGAAAGTTTAAAAGTGTTATCAATTTCCCACAGGCAAATAATATATTTAATATTTATGACTAGGCATAGGCTTGTATAATATTCTGACGGTTTGATAACCTTGGATAGAAATTTCCAGTATTGTGATTACTGCTGGGCAAAGCAGTGGCGCAGTAGGTAGTGCTGTTGCCTCACAGCAATAAGGTTGCTGGTTCGAGACTCGGCTTAGGTGGCGTTTCTGTGTGGAGTTTGCATGTACTCCCTGCGTTCGTGTGGGTTTCCTCCGGGTACTCCGGTTTCCCCCACAGTCCAAAGACATGCGGTTTAGGTGAATTGTGTAGGCTAAATTGTCCATAGTATGTGTTTGTGTGTGTGTGGATGTTTCCCAGAGATGGGTTGCGGCTGGAAGGGCATCCACTGCGTAAAAACTTGGAGGATAAGTTGGCGGTTCATTCCGCTGTGGCGACCCCGGATTAATAAAGGGACTAAGCCGACAAGAAAATGATTGAATGAATGATTGATTACTGCTCTAAAACATGTTCATTTTAAATGTAGTAAAAAAACAACAACCTTTTCCCCAAAGAACACAATATATTTTTAGAAACTATTAAATATTTTAAAACGGTTAACATGTCTGGCTGAATAATTGAAGAAATCATTGATGTCTGCTCACTTCATTAGCACAGATGGATGGATGGATGGATGGATGGATGGATGGATGGATGGACAAAAGGAAGGAAGGAATGAAGGAGGATGGATTAATGAATGATTTGTGGATAGATAGATAGATAGATAGATAGGTAGATAGAAAGATAGATAGATAGATAGATAGATAGATAGATAGATAGATAGATAGATAGATAGATAGATTTCTATTATAACTTTCTATTGATGTTTAACCATTAAAATAAACATAGCATTATAAAACGCTCGCATGATGTCAATTTGGACAACTATGCTGATATTTCAAAGTTTTCACACAAAGAGAAAGCGCATAGTCTAGTTTGTGAATCAATAGACTTTGATACAGTACGAGTCGCAGATGTGAGGCATGCACGAGCTGTTTATCATAACTCTCATCATTGTTACCTTTATATTTGCGTGACTGTTTGCTTTATAAAACGGAGAACGCACTCCCAGTTAACACGCAGCGGTTGGAAATTTAAGTTACAGTAATGTCCATAATTTACAGTGAGGCTTTTTTTGCAGTCTGAATTAGCCTGTTCAATTACAGAATACGGGAAATGCCATTACTATTATCATTTTAATATGGCATATTTAATAATGAAATCAAATAATCATAATGTAATATTTAAATTAATTTTAAGCTATCTTGCGGCCCACCTGCAGGATCGCTGAGGCCCACTAATTGAGAATCCCTGGTATAAAGGGCCCTTTTCAGCTGGCGATACTGTTGCCCTAAAAAAATTAAATGAAGTAGTTGTAAAAAATGGGTTTATATAAAAAATTATACCGACTTTAAAACCTTGACTTTTCCAATCCGCGGTAAACCTTGAAACCGGTTATTATCCCATGCCAATTTCTGACCTCAAAAAACACCATTTCAGTTCAGCATACAGCATGCTACCGCTTATTCAAAATAACAAACAACATGCTTGACTATTTTGCACACTTAACTACATCATTTCTTTTTTCTCTGTTTTACAGATGAGCAAGGCATCTCCTCACACAGCTCTCCTCCGAGCCTCTCCTATCCTCCAGAGGGCGTTGCCCCGTACGCCATCAAGCCGTGTGCGTCCTCCTATGTTGACGTCCACACTGAAGGCTTTTCTGCGTACGAGCAACTGGAGGCCAAGGGCTACCTGGAGCACGCCCGACCCAACAACCAGGCCTTGAGCCCCAGAATCGAAATCACACCTTCACGTGAGCTCTACAATCATGGTCAAAACCAGCTCATAAACACCAGCCCCAGTCCTGGACTCACCGTGCCAGGTCAAGATCCGTTAGCCTATCGGGAGCCACAATGCTTGAGTCCCGCCAGTAGCAATTCATCCACTTCCTGGCATTCAGAAAACCTCTCACCCTGGGCATCGCCCTGCGTTTCGCCCAGTAACAGCCAGCTTTCTGGAGACCTCTGTCCACGACTGCAGGGCGTCCATACGGGGTCTCCAAGAACCAGTCCGGGCACTTCTCCACAGACCACCAGTCTGTCTGAGGACGCTTGCATTGGCCCGCGCTCTCCCTCCCCCCGACCTGGATCGCGTTCAACCTCCCCTCTATGCAAACGCACCTACGAGATGTACACAAACCCAAACCTTGTGCCTGTGGCCCGTTCTCGCAGCCCGTCGCCCCACGGTGGCCACAAGGAGCATCACGTCAATCATTACATCTCAAATAATGGCGTAAATGGCTTTAGTGTTGGCCAGGCGGCTTCTGTTCCTACTAAAATCGTAAAGACCAACCAGCAGGGCTACCCCCTTTATTCAGACAACCACACTGAGGGTTACCTGCTGTCCTGTGAGCAGGATATGAAGGGCAAACCTGGCCCCGAGCCTTTCTTCGTCATCCCTCAAATCTGGCCCAAACAGCTGGTACCTGGCATGTGCAGGTAAATATTTGCTTTTTTTTTCTTGTGTCTTTACCCATAAAAGTATAGTTCACCCCAAGTTATAATTACCAGGGATGTCCTGATCAGGTTTTTTTGCCCTCCTTTGACTTTGAATATCTGACAAAACCGAAAGCTGATCCGATACTTCTAAAAATACATGAAAAAAGAATAAAGAAGAGCGAAGAAACCGATTCAGGATGTTAATTTTGTTATTTAATTCACCCTATTTTAACATTCAACAACTCTGTTAACAAACAGAGCACTTCTTTGAGGTAGCTAGAACAATCAAGTAATAAATAACATCAATTCTTCAGGTAACACTGAGGTAAACCTCACTTCTCTGACCTCAAAAGATGCTTTAGCAACTGGAGGACATGGGCTTTAGCCTCCTTGTTAGAGCAACCGACTCCCATTCAAAGAATCAATGGTTCGATCCCAGCTCAGCACGGGTTGGGTGCAGTAGGACAGGTGGGTTGCACGTGGGGGCTCGTCCAGGATGGGAATGAAGTTTATCGGGGTGAGTGTAACGGTGACTAGCTAGCAAAGTTCTATGCAGGTAAACCTCACTCCTCTGACCTCAAAAGGTGCTTCAGTGAGGCCTTGATACATGGTTACAAAACTAATATAAAAACAAATAGCACCTCAACTTAAAATACCCGACAGGCAATCCCAAGTTTACTTACAATCTCACAGTTTGCTATGGTAATGTTGTCGTCATTAACTTCATAATACCTCCAGACCGCAGACATACTCGCGCTTTCCGCTTCAAAGTGCTTCCGTGTACTTTGCCGGCATTTAACCAATAGCGTCTCTGCAACAAAGTGATGTCATGCTGCACGTGTTGCTCTTTCTGTGTGACGTCAAGAAAGAGTTGGGCTGGGCAATTAATTGAAAAATAATCGAAATTGACACTGAGAGGCTATAATCGATCCAATTTTGCCAGGTCATTTACTTTCCCTACCAAGTGTGGAGTCACGCGACGCTGCTCTGTTTACACTTCTGGGTCAAGCACAAGTTTGTGTTTCAGAGAAGCCTTCATGTGGTCTATACACCTCACCATGGCTGATGCCGACACTTACAAAGCCTCACAAAAAAGGCATGCAGTTACGGCTGATTTACACTTCTGCATCCACTTTTAAGCCATATTTGATCTCTTGTCAAGCCTTACTTTGCACTACACTCATGATGATTGGAAGCTGTGCAGGAGATTCCTGTACAATTTAAAATGACATCTTTGGATATCTTTTCTGCTGGAGATACTGTTCTCTTAAAAAACAAAACAACAAAATCAAGTAAATAAGTTTTTTCGCACATAATTTAGGAACAGTATTACAGAAAATGTTGGCGGTTTTAAAACCTTGACTTTTCCAAACTGCGGTATACCTTGAAAACGGTTATCATCCCATACCTAATTTAGACTGTAAGGGAAACCAGAGTACCCGGAAGAAATCAACGTCAACATGGAGAGAACATGCAATCTCCACACAGAAATGCCTAATGGCCCAGATGGGACTCAAACCAGCAACCTTCTTGCTGTGAGGTGACAGTGCTAACCGCTGAGCCACCGTGCCACCGTAATGTAATTTGTCATTGTCAAAAATGTTTCTTTCAAGCAGTTTTTAAAACATTTGCTGTGTGAGTAAAAAGTTCTGCTGTAAGTATGTGACTCTGGACCACAAAACCAGTAGTGTCATTTTGTCTAAATTGAGATGTATATATCACCGTAAAGCTGTATAACATTGTGGCATGGTTTATTAGCATAGAACAATGTTGAACATCTGAAATCTGAGTGTTCAAAGAAGTCTAAATACTGAGAAAATTGCCTTTAAAATTGTTAAAAATGTAATTCTTTGCGATATACATTACTAATTAAAAAATGACATATTTCAAATGACAAAATCTCCTCATAGAAGATGATCTTTACTTTATATTTTAGTAATACTTGCCATAAAAGAAAATATATATAATTTTGACTTCTACAATGTATTTTTACTATTGCGATAAATATATCCATGAAACATAAGATTGGTTTTGTGGTCCACGCTTACATATTAGTCATTACTGTTTTCAGAGAGAGAGAAAACTTTAGACACGTTTACATTGTCAGCAAATGCATTACCAGAACAAGATATAATAATAAATATCAGAAAATAAATGTAAGCTTATAATCTTTGGACTTTTTTCATAATCAGTGGAAACACCAGTTATTTAAGGTAGAAAATTACACATTTTGTTAGTGTTGTTGCAGTTTGTGGAAACTAAAGTTTATTTCAGTAATGAGTAATTAAAAAGCCGTAAAACTAAGTGTTCATTTTAAACACAAACCCAAAGCAGCAAAATTTGAGACACTATGGAAAACGCAAAAAAAAAATAATAATAATGATTTCTAAATGTACTTTTTATATATACATATATATATATATATAGTGACTTGG